TCAGAATCTGAGGAAAAAGAAAATTGTAAATGTGTAATTAATAATTGTAATAAAGAGGCTGAATATTGGAAAGTCATAGTTCAAATGAATGGACTATCAATTAATATGATTAAATCAAACAGTGAATTATTATAAAAAAATTTATCAGAAGATATATCTCCTGAATTAAAAGAAGAATTATTAAAAAAAATTGTCAATAAAGACAAAAATCCAAACATTGATAATGTATATAGATTTTCTGAAGTTCAAAAAAAAAGGCAAAATATTGCCCAAACTTCTAATGAAATATCTTTATCATCTCTTAATAAAGAGATACAAAACTTGAAAAAAGAAGTCAAAGAATTAAAACAAGAGAATAAATATATTCTCTCAAGAATAGATGATACTGAAACATCTAATACTCTAGTTCAACATAGTGAACACAGTGATAATGATATTGATAATAATGCACTGTTGCAAATATTGCAACAAGTAACCTCTCAAAAATGGTATATAAATGTTACCTTAGTAATAGCTGATCAAATGTATATATCAGATCTTATAGCTCTGGTTGATAGTGGTGCAGATCTAAACTGCATAAACGAAGGAATAATTCCTTTCAAATTCTTTAAAAAAAACTACTCAGACCTTAAGTAGTGCTAATGGTAACCAATTAGAGGTAAAATATATATTACCACAAGCACATATATGTATACAAGGGACTTGTATACCAACTCCCTGTATATTAGTCAAAAATTTATCCCAACATATTATTTTAGGAACTCCATTTTTACATACTATTATGCCTATTAGTCAAATTGACACTAATGGTATTCGCGCTCATTTTGAGGATAAAGAAATTATATTAGAATTCATCACAGATCCTCAAACTAGAATGCTGAATAAAGTCAAAAATATAATCTTAAAAGAAAATCAAATTAATTTTCTTAAAGAAGTAGTATTTGTTCAAGTTGAAGAACAAATAAAAAAGCATAAAGTCTTAATAAGTCAAATTGAAAATAAATTTAAACTCACTGTATGCAGTGATGTTCCAAATGTATTTTGGAATAGAAAACAATATATTGTTTCTTTACTCTATATAGAGGGATTCAACGAGAAAAATATTCCTACTAAATCTCGTCCATGCCAAATGAATCAAGAATACCTTGTTTTATGTAAAAAAGAAATACAAACTCTTATAGAGAAAAAACTAATAAGGAAATCATATTCTCCTTGGAGTTGTACTGCATTCTATGTTAACAATGCAGCTGAAAGAGAGAGGAGTTCCTCGTTTAGTTATCAACTACAAACCTCTAAATAATGTCCTTAAATGGATTAGATATCCAATTCCTAATAAAATGGATTTGTTAAATCGCATTACTAATGCAAAAATCTTTTTAAAATTTGATTTAAAATCAGGCTATTGGCAGATTCAAATAGAAGAAAAAGATAAATATAAAACTGCCTTAGTTGTCCCATTTGGACATTATGAATGGAATGTTATGCCATTTGGGCTTAAAAATGCCCCTTCTGAATTTCAAAATATTATGAATGACATATTTATTCCTTATATGGATTTTATATTGTCATATATAGATGACATTCTGATATTTTCTCATAGTTTCGATCAACATGTTAAGCATTTAGAAATTTTTAGAAACTTAGCTATTAAAAATGGGTTAGCTATATCTGCCTCCAAAATAAAATTATTTCAAACTCAGATTAGATTTCTGTGTCACAATATAGAAAAAGAAACTACTATTCCTATTGACATGAGTATAGAATTTGCTTCTAAATTTCCTGATAAAATAACTGACACTAAACAGTTACAGAGTTTTTTAGGTGCATTAAACTATGTAGCAGATTATTATAAAAATTTAGCACAAGACACAGTCCTTTTATATGATAGGCTTAAAAAGAATGCTAAGCCTTGGACTAAGCAACATACTGCTGCTGTAAAAAGAATTAAACGAAAGGTTAAATGCTTACCTTGCATTCATCTTGCAAATATTCACTGGTTCAAAATAGTTGAAACAGATGCATCTAATATTGGTTATGGTGGCATATTAAAACAAGTTGATCCCCAAACCAATAAAGAATAGTTAGTTCGTTTTACCTCTGGTAAATGGGATAAAGCTCAATTTAATTATTCCACAATTAAAAAGGAAATGCTTTCAATTATTAAGTGCTTTTCTAAATTTCGAGATGATATCTTAAATCAAGAATTCGTACTAAGAATTGATTACAGTTCTGCTAAAAGTATTATTGAAAAAGATGTGAAAAACTTAGTTTCTAAACAAATATTTGCCAGATGACAAGCTGAATTAGCCATGTATCAATTTAAAATTGAGTATATTAAAGAAGATTATAATCATCTTCCTGATTTTTTAACTCGTAAATTCTTACAGGGTACAAATGAGACGGAGTAATCCCTCCTTTTCAGGGAGGGGGAGAGGAGGCTCAAGCCCAACTTTCAGTTCAGGCCTTATAGTCGAAACTAGTTCAGAAAGAAGTTATACTCCATCTCAGCCGAGTTCATGGCGTACTATTTCAAAGAAACATAATTCTTCGCATCCATCTCAAGCCTTTTATAAAGGCATAAATGATCTTATTGCACAAGAACAAACTCCTGAACCCTTTACTTCTATAGTAAAGCAAGAGACAGAATGGATTGAAAAACCTCAGTCTGATATTGTTCTGTATCGAGAACAAGAGGTTGTTCCCTTAATGAATGATCCAGAAAAATTAAGGCAGAGATATCTGCAGGATACATATTATCCAACTTTATCTTTAAAACCAAGAGCCTGGATGAAGACTCTATTGATGCAAAAGGGCATGGAAATTACGTATTTTTGGACAACAGATAATCATAATGTCCCTCCAAGCTACAGTAAATGCATTCAGGAATTTATACTTCCTAAAAATTGGGCACTAAATCCTAATCAGGAGCTACCACTTGTCAGAGTTCAAAATACAAAAGAAGTTTATAACTTCAATTATTAGGACTATAAACAGACCTTTAATGAGATATTCTTATATCAGAATCCCAAACAGAAGCACACTTGGATTATAAAAATTTATCCTGAAACTCTTCAAAAGGGCGTTCCTACTTGGTTCTATAAATAGTGGAAAACGTATGGTATTGAAATTGGTATTATTCCAGAACCCTTAATGAAGTTATACTCTTCTTGGGTAGATTCTCATCCTATCCTTGCACGAATGGACGAAAGCCAGCTTATAGATGACATGTGTTTAATACACTTCTTTGCTGTTGAGATCCCATGGATCTGGAATTGGTCTATTATTTGTGATTGGACCCTTTCTCATATGCCTGTTCTGAGAAGAAAATATTACTGCAGATGGTGGAACGGAATGTGCCTTGATACTAAGGTAAAGCAACTTGAAGAAATTATACAGAAAAATACTTCTGTTCAAGAGTCTCATATTACTCAAGAAATTAAAAAGGATAATCCAATGATGAAAGTTGCTAAAATGATGCGACGAAAATATCCTCAAAGCTCTAAATCTGAAATTAAGCAAAAATGTTTAGAACATTTCAAAAGATAATTCTTTGAAGCTTTTGACATAAGTGAGATTCATAGTCATACTTCATCCATGGAAGAAGATACTCCATTACCCGACGCACAAGATCCGGATGAGATTTGGGCCGAAATCTTTGACCAAAATATATCAGACCTTAAAGGAAAAACCCAGCTTCCTAAGCAGATAAAAATTCTAGATTGAGTCTCGGGGAGCCGTCTAGAATCTATAAAGCCACTTTATAAAGTAGCCTTTAAAAAAGCATATGAAAGAAAAGTCATACTCTTAGAAAGAGAGTTAATGATGTGGGTCCCAATGTCTCATAATTAGTGTATATGTTGTGGGTCCTAATGTTTCCTAATTTGTGCGATAATGCATCCAACTTTCTCGTTTATGCAAAGGGTCGTTGTCAAAACGTCATTATCGAAGGAACTCGAAGGCTTGAGAAGGCAACCGAGAAAGCTTATATATAGGAGTTAAGTTTGAAAGAGTCTGTAAGTTTTGAAGTAAGTTTTTGTGAGTGAGAATAAAATACTAAGAGTGTTGTAAGATTGAGTGTTCTTCTGTATTAATACGAGTGTTGTAAGTGTGCTTGTAAAATATTGAAGATCTTAATAAAGATATAGTTTTGAGAATCGGCAAGCGTACTCTGTAAGTATTTATTTTCTGTTTTTTACCGCTTTTTATTTTCTGTTTTTTACTGCTTTATATATATATATATATATATATATGAGAATACGGGGCTAACAAAATCCAAAATAGAGTAATAAGAAACTTCTGACGCATTAAATTTATACATAAGATCCAAACTCATGAAAGTTGAGATAATTTAGTTGTCAGGGTCTTAATCTAGAGACCTATGTGCAACGAATAATCCAACATCTAGACCACCATCAATCCTCAAATTTGACCTCCAATAAGAAATTTTCTGTTTTGTGCACAAAAAAGGACTAAGAAGATTGAGATGATACTTGGCAGCCTCCAGAAACCATGCTAATTTTGAAAAACATTCTCAAACTTCGTATGGCACAGAATAGGAACCTAAATAAACCGCAAACGCAGATCAGATCATTGATCATTTCTCCCCTTCGCCTCTCATACATTATTCCCAACCCAATCAACCAGTCCTCTATCTCTAGTCTAAACACCATCTTAATCAATCAGAACCACTTGCCATGCTTAATTGTGGATACAAAAGGTGGGAACTTTGCAGTACTATTGGTCATTCTGATCACGTCACCTCTCCTCATGATAAGGATATGGCTAACCCTCTGCGTGAGAAAAGTAGGGGTTTTTTTATTTCTTTATAATTACCTTGTAGAGCTATTTTCTGTTGCAGAGTTTCTTTACGCATTAAATAATGTTTTCCTTCTGTTGTACTCTTTTTCCCCTTCACCGAACAATCTTAAAGCCTAGTAAATTATTGGTAAGCTCCAATCTCAAGAAAGTAAGCAAACTGGATTGCAGCTTCAGGAACTTACTCGGCAACCTCCTTATATCTGTGGGCCTTATTGCTTCATGCACTTCTTGATCATTCTTTACCTTCCTGAAGTATTTACGAATGCTTTTGGGTGCAAATCTCTCACCATACCTGTATACGAGAAACAAAACAATTTAAATTTATTTTAGAGAAAGAGAAAGTAACCATTTAGAAAATTATTGGAGTAGACATTTCCTGCTTGAACCTAAACTTGACTGTGGTCGACTTATTAATGTTGCCGATGAAAACAATATAATGTTTAGCTAGATCTGTTGGGGCAAATTGGAATCTAATCGGCGTCAGAGTAGATAGCAATATTGTCGTAAAGTTAAAATATAACAGCCCAAAAGAAGAACAATAAAAGCCTCATATAATTGAAAGGTAGTGCCTGCACATATAACTATTTCACAAGTCCATGGTTGGTGAAAAAGACTCACATGAATGACCACACCAGTCTGATTTCCAGCAAATTACAATACATGACTTTTAACTAATTTGAAGGAAAAGCCAGCATCTGGCAACCATCTGGCATCTTATATTTGTGAACTTTGTAGCTCTAAATCATGAATTTGCGTTTAATTATAGAAACAAAAAATCTAAATTCCAACTCAAGGGTCTTTTAAGGACGTAGCACGTAATTATATCAATAGAATAATTGAGATTCCAGATTCAAAACAGTATGATTTCAAATTTTGTAGAATCAAGAACTCAATTAAAAGAAAGAAAATTGATCAAATTTAATTTGAAACTCCATTATTCCCATCTTCAGACATATCAAATCCACCTGACTTCAGAAACCCTACAGATCTTAAGGACCGAAATTGAATCATATATGCTTTGAATTTTCATTCCAGCATATTCATATGCCTTCCAACTTTCAGGAGATGGATTGGATTGGGATAGACCAATGGTAAACGATTACTCACTGTAGCCCATATGGACTTAAGTAGATAGACGCTAAAACGATGAGCAGTTTTCATCAACCACATGCCTGAGCCTGCCTTAGCAAGATTAGCTCCGCACAGCAGTTAATGTGTAAGTAAGACCACTTACCCACCTTTCTTTAACAAAGGAATTGATATTATATGTACAAAATTTAAAGAAACAAAACAGGATATTATATATACATACAAAAGCGTGCGCGCACAACTCTACAAATTATCAGTTAATGTGTAAGTAAGACCAATTACCCACCTTTCTTTAACAAAGGAATTGATATTCTCTGCAGCCTCATCAGAAATCTAACAAAAAGGCAAAAAGTAAAACAAAACAATGAGTAGCGTAATAAAGAAAGAATAAAGCTTTCAAGTAAGTGCATGTTCTCATAACCAGGCCAAGTGCAATGGATATACAAAAAGTATTATGCGCTAGCACGTAGCTTAATCACTGATATAAAAGGCGGACTGGGTAGCCACCTTGTTTTGTTGTAGTTCGCCCCACCCCTTCCCAACTTAGGCGGTTATGCCTCTTAGGCTAGAACCTAGCTTTGATGAGTCAAAAGTACGGTAAATTCCACAAAACCCTCTAAACTTTAGGGCTTTCCTACAAACGCCCCTGAACTTGTTTTTTTCCCGCCAAACCCCTGAACTTTAGGGTGTCAAACAAAACCCACCTAAACTTTAAACCTTTTCCATAGGA